GTGTGTGTGTTTTCACTATTCTATGGGAACTAATGGATTGTGTTGTAAATAGATGTATCAATGTTAGGGTATTACACTTGGCGCCTGTATCAATTCTAAACTGCACATCCTGAGACAGAAGCTTGAGACAAACGGTCCATTTGTCATCTTCTGGAGCAACTGTTCGTGTCAGATTCATGCTCAGAATCTCCTCATCGACTGAATCCAAATTAGACTCCACACTTACTGCACTTACTGGTCGCTTGTGACATACTGCTGCCCAGTGGTTTGGTTTGTTGCAATAGGAACATACAGAGCCTTTGGCTGGGCAGTTTCCCTTATTCCACAGATGTTGTGCATCTTTCCCACACTTTGTGCAACACTTGGGTTGGATGAACAAAGCATTCTTTGTGGGTTTCCTATATGCCTTATTAAATACTTTATGCTTAGAGGAGGCAGGCTTTGCTTTTGCAGACACTACAGATAAGCCTACCCATAAGTCTTCCTCTCTTACTATTTTTATCTGTCTCTGCGACATTTTGAATTACTGAGGAATTTCGATGGCTTTCACTAGCATGAGATCCTCATCTTTATCTAGCAGTCTTTCCTGGACTTGTTTTTCTCTGTCCATATTTCCAACAGAGTGCTCCGTTCGTACTCCAACCACACACTCAGACCCGTTGCCACTGTGGAACTTCCAATAAGGTACAGAGCTTGTGAAGCAAATAGCAAGTTTGAGCTGGTGAACATTGCACAGGAAAATGTGCTAAGTGGTGCAACAGCAGAGGCTTTAGGTCTCATAGCTCGACTAAACTCACTGAAACCCCAAGCTGAAGAAGCAGAAAGAAACATTACTGTGAGCAGCGAGGTAACCCAAACCATACCAGCAGGACTGGAGGATTTTCCCGAGCTGTCGCAAACCACTGGTACATTGCCAGGTAAATACTCAATTAAAATTGATCCAAACACAAAGGGCATAATCCATCCCATCCACTGACAACCAGTAGCATTGAGGGGGAAGATAGTGGAGAAATTCCATGAGATGGTGAAAGATGGTTACATCACTAGAGTCAACCAACCTACAGAATGGGTGAGTTCCATGGTAGCAGTTCTCTGAAATGGAAAAGTAAGAATCTGCATAGGTCCAAGTGACTTAAAGTCATTAAAAGGAAACATCATTCAATGCGTACCATGGAACAGGTTGTTTCAGAAATCCCAGGTGTCAAAGTCTTCTGTCTTGGATGCCAAATCAGGGTTCCTCCAAATACAGTTAGATTACGCATCATCCTTTCTCACAACCTTTAACACCCCTATCGGAAGATTCAGATGGCTCAGGCTGCGATTTGGGATAAAGTCGACGCCAGAAATCTTCCAACGCATAATGGATCAGATGCTTGAGGGCATTGATGGAGCCATAAGCATCATGGATGACATCCTGGTCACCACGCCTACGGTAAAACAGCATGACGTTATCCTTCGCAAAGTGGTTGAAAGGGCCACAAGCTATAATCTGAGATTAAATCTCAATAAATGCCGCATTCGCCAATCATCAGTGCCATATGTGGGACACCTAATAACAGAGGCAGGCCTGAAACCAGACCCTGCAAAGGTTAAAGCGATCAGATGCCTACCTGCACCCACTGACAAAGATGGAGTCCGACGCTTCTTAGGCTTCGTGACTTATCTGTCCAAGTTCATCCCAAACCTCAGTGAAGTAGATGCTCCGCTGAGGCAGCTTTTGAAGAATGAGATTCTTACTTTTCCATTTCAGAGAACTGCTACCATGGAACTCACCCATTCTGTAGGTTGGTTGACTCTAGCCTTGGGTAGAACCATCTGGCCCATCCACGGATAAGGAGCCACATCTTCCAGTTTCCTTAGAACTACCAGCTGTATCAGCTGACCAACCAGACAGCTCTGTCCAAACCCAGCCAGTTGGCCGTTACGTCACCAAGCGAGGCAGGACTGTGAAGTCTCCTAATAGACTCAATCTATAACTGATAGGTCTAGTGTTGGATTGTCACTAGGGGCAGGTGTGGTAAAGACGCCTGTGGAAGTGAAGTGCTAGTAACCTCTCCTTCCAAGTTATGAGACAGCCCAGTTAGCTAATGTTCAGTATTCAGTTATTGCTGTACTGGGGCTACTGCGACTAATACTAATACCGCAACTTATGGTATTGGTTATTTGGTAATATAGAGTGGTAAACCCTTAGGGAACTTCAGTTTTAGATCTGTGTTGGCATAATACTGTTTATTAGGTTATAACTCATTAGCAGTGAAATGTTTTCTTTCCTTGTTAAGGAGGGAGATGTAATGTACTGCCATCTACTGGCAGCAATAATTAATGTGGTGAAAGCACGGTTTGTATTGTGTGTACTGGGTTTCCGTAGTTGACCGACCGACTACAATAAAGTTGGCTGACTGCTAAGCTGCAGGGGGGTATTCCATGAAAGTAGCTAAAGCAAGGCAGACTTTCCCGAAAAAGTCAGACTCAACCTACCTCCATCTCTAAACTTAACCTCATGTCGTTCCACGAACGCAGTTCAGCTTTAACTAATCAAGGCTCATTCAAGACATACTTGCCTAGTCTCACTTAGTGCGCACACCCGCGATAAATAAATAAATGGATGAACGATAGATCGACCAAATGAGTCGGAAAGCCTGTAAAACGAGAGCGGTGTGTCTTTCCGCCGCAGATTAAACGCTGCTGATGGAGCTGTATGAAAAATACAAAGATGTAATCGTTAAAAAAGGCAATACTGTGGCCATAAACACAGCCAGAGAGTTGGCTTGGCAATGAATTAAAGACAGACTAAATGCATAAGTTACGTAAATGTTAGGAGTGCTTAGTGGTTTATGCTGTCCCCTTATAACGCGAAAGTCGTTGGTTCGATCCCCATAACCAACGGGAAACCAGCTTGGTTGAGTTTACGCGTCATTATTACTGTATAATATTATTTGATCTCCGTAAAATACTTCCAATCACATCCGTGTGAAATAGTCTGCACAAATAACCGTATCTTGTCTTTGCTATTTTAGTAACAAACTTTCAAAGTAGACAGTGACTAAACAAAATATAAAAATATTTGTCATGGATCCGGGCGGCTTGGGCACGGAAGCGAGGCATGGTGCAGGCACAGAGAGGATGGACGACCCACTTGCGGCTCAAAGAACAGAAACGGGGTTTATTTAACTGAACTAAAAAAAAACACAAGGCAGGGCTAGCAAAAACAAAGGACCACGAGGGGTCAAAAACTAAAAAGGGATTAACAAAAACTAAATAACAAAAACCAGATATACATCTACCGTCAACTATGAAACACAAAGAAGAAGAAACAACAACAACAACAACAACAACAACAACAACAACAACAACAACAACACACAGATACAATCAACGAACCACTAGAGAACAGATCAGAAGCAGGGACTTAAATACAGAAACCAAAACTGGGTAATAAGACTAACACAGGACACGTGAGACTAATTAACAGACCAGGAAAACAGGGCACAGGTGAAACTATAATAAACTGAAAGGAACAAAACAGGGAAACTAAGAACTAACCAAGGAAACAGGGAAACAGAAACCAACACTAGGGAATTAAACAGGTAAAGACACAAGCAGGGGCACAAGGAACAAAACCAAACCCAACTACAAAATCAGACACAAGAACTAAAGAAATTCAAATGAAACACTAGGGAGTAAAATACAAAAACAGAGGAGGCGGGATTCAAGCACAGGACAGAAGGGTACACAGACAACCACATGCTCAAGACATTGAGCCACATGACCAGACAGGTAACACGGGAGAACAAAGACTAACATAAGGAACGGGATGACCAGCAACGCCTGCTGGCCAAACGGGGAAGGGACACAGAGTGAGACAACAGGGGCTGACCCTGACAATATTTTCCTGTTCATATTATTTTAACAGATTTTCTTCCAATTTCAGTCATTGCATTTCATGTTTGATCTTTGTAAAAGCGTACGCTTTATTTTACAGTAAAATACCGTTATAACGGACTTCAAGGGACCTGGCAAAACAGTCCGTTATATCCAGAGTTGCTGTATGCCCAGAAAACAACTACACGACACCATTTACGCATGCCACACACCAGCAGACACACTTGTGGTATAGATAATTATACTGTACATGTAGTAATTCAACTTTACCTGACCTGATGCGTAACTATTAATAATCTTGACTACGTACGTATCTGCGCTGAATATCACCAGCAAGCCACATGCCTTGTAGGCGGAGCTGCCCAAAAGGGTATCGTTTCCTATGTTAGTGCTAAAAGTGTAAAAATTGTACGTTTTTGAGTTACTGTCTTGCCTATTATGAACGATATGAAATATTCTTAATCATGTTAACATGTGCATATTTATGTTGTTTGGCTGGCTTTTGTTGGTTTATTTAAAATGTTAGATTTTAAATACCAGATCAAGTTAATCAAACTATAAATGCTCGCATGTTATTCTTGTAATTATTAGCATCGTGGCCGTGGTAGCGTAGCGAGAGCACTGATGTTCAGACCTTGCTACTTTATTTTTCCACTGTTATTCCAAGGAAAAATCAATTGTGCAACCATCATAACTCGCTAACGCGCGCACGCGCGTGTCCCCTTATTCTATATAACCACGTACTGTTACATACATGCATATGTGACATATAAAATAATATTAATAAAAGATGGATGGATGAAAAAGAACACTGGACACGACATCATGAATCAAATGTTTATTTTTTTTATATATATATAATTCATTAAATGTATGATAATAAACTTGTTTTGTCTTGCCGAACAAAACTACAGCTAAAAGCGGCACTGGGGACCAAATTGTTTGTCCATTATATGCGAAAATCCGTTTCATGCGAGTCTGCTATATCCGATGCTTTTTCTGCATGTTCATATAGGCGCACGGCTGGGACCAGCGGACCTCGTCCGTTATAGACGATATTCCGTTATAAGCGAGTCCACTATAACGGGATTTTACTGTAATTATTTTAGAATTAATTGGAATACTAAGACGTGATTTTATAGGCTTTATTATATTGATTATGTAGCAATCTCAGCTCTGTTCTCCATATTATGGAAGTATCACGCAGAGCTTTACTTCAGAAAATATGGTTTTTATTCTCTCTATTTCTCGTCTTGCCACACGTCGGACGTTCTTTGAGACAACGCTAAACTAAGCGAGACAGTTAGCCTGGTCCGGAGCAGACTTGTTCGCAGGTGTAAATTACCATAGTAATTCAGCGGGGATTCATTTCAGACACGTTGATGGAACGGAACTCTCACTTAAGTAAGACTGACTTGTCGAAATAAGTCAGACTTTCCCTTAATCCGGCTTCATGGAATACCCCCCAGGTCTGTGTCCTGTCCATTACAAAATAAATGCGCTCAGCTTATATTGGTGATATATGTTATATTGGTGATTGAACCAGAAGCGTTAGTTATATCTAACATTAAATAATGTTTAATGCTGAATAGTATTTAATGCTGAATATAAATCACGCTTCAGTTTCATTTTCTCTCGCCATATAGTTTGTTGTTGCGGTTTTTCTCTGCTCCATGTTCTCTGCACTATGGTGCGCAGTGCCGGCGTCAAGGTGGGGCATTGGAAGGCATTGCCTCCCCTAGCAAGTCACCACGCCCCCCCCTACACACGCTCCAGCACCAACCACCACAGGCTCCAAAATATTCATTTTTATATCTGATTATTTTTCAGATATTAAACGTGTAAACATTCACGAAATTAAAAAATGGAGCAAGCCATTGAAGAACGAGGGAAACTCCTTGTTGACTATTTTAGGAACAAACCAACCAACGATGACATCAAAAAAGTCAGAATGCATGAAGGTGATGAGGTTTTAAGGAAGAAAAATGGGACCTCATATTCCACACAGAAGTAAGCATTTCAGTTTTAAAGATATGCATTTTCTTAAATGGCATATTCCATAGCAAATGTGTTCATTTACAACTTGACGTAAGTTACCCTCTGTTTTATTCTGAGTTTTATTTTTCTATTTTGTACTTAGACAAAATATTTTTGTGTCTGACTAATTTTTGTGCACTGTGTTATTATTTTACAGGAGACAATCACTGCGGCTGATATTGAGAGGACCTGCTGCCTACCAAATAGTCCAAGGCTGATAATTCTTAGTATAATCTTACCTTTCATCAGCTCAGTTTCTTGTTGCTTTTTAACGTTTGAATAAATTTTGATGGTTGTTGGTGACGGCTTTAGTAAACGGAAATGGATGATTGTAATTGAAGAACAGGTGATTCGCCAAGGGGTGTAGCCAACCTTCATGTCTGGGTTAGCAACACTCTGTGTGTTACTACAGCTTTAACCTCCAATATCAAGATGGCGCTGCTTGCACTCTTGAATTTATACAAAGGTAAAATTTGGTGACATTGACTTTTCAAAAGTGAATTACATTGGAAAGTCCTTAGCTATAAACCTTATTAGCAACAACACTATGCTCATACTCACAGACACACACTAAACTCAGACAGACACAGACACACATTCAAAGGCCTTCATATATATACCACACGTTTCCAGGCCGACACAAATATACCACACACAGACACACATTCTCAGACTGAGAAACACTAAAAACTGTCTCTCGCTCCCCCTGAGGGCAGCAGGCCCTTTATCTATGGTCTTCATACAGACTTCTGGAGCCGGGGGGTCAGACTGACTTGGTAGAGTAAGTTGTATGAGATAGACAAAGAACATGATGAGCGAGTAGCAAGGACAGAAAGAAACAAAAATAAGAAATATGAAAGCTTTAGAGTGAACTAAATGAAAATAATTAAATAACTACAAATTAATTTGAGAAATCCCTCAATAATGACACACGCATATAAACAAACATACACTCATACCCACAGATACAAACACTCTGACATACACAAAGATAAACGATTTTCCTTGTACAGATAGATTGATTGTGCATGTTTTTTCTTTCAGAAATTTCTTCAAAATCAACCCAGAGAGAGGGTCAAAGGCAAGCAAAGGAAAAATGAAGAGCAAAAAGACTGGAAAGTTAGTCCAGAAGAAGTCTTTTGCCATCAACCCACACATTTGCTCACTAATTAGAAAGCTCACTGAGTTTGAATGGGACTTCATATAAGGTACCTGAAGCATTTTATTCATGCACATAAAGCACTATTTTAGGATATTACATTCATTTATAGCTTTGTGTCTGAACTTTTTGAAAACCAGATTTCAATGAGTTGAAATCTGTCGGAAGTGATGTGAAATTTACCTGTGAAACTAAAATGGTTAATAGTTAGCAGGGTTTTTTTTATTGCTTGTGTACTTCACTGTTTGTAGGGATTCTGCCGAACGTGACCCCCTGGAATTATTATTTTTTAAGACTTTCTACCTGCTTCTGTTCCCTTCACATACTATTGCTCCTGTGAACTTGATGTTAGTTTGTTTATTGCTTAATTATTTCAACAATTAGTTTTGGATTTTCGAAAATCACAATAATTTTTAATGACATGATGGTGAAACATTGGAAATGTAAGAATTGTTGAACATTTTCCATTAACATCTTTATACAAAAATAAGATTTTTGTAAACTAAGGGCGGGGGGCTGCGCCTGGGGTCTCTCCCCTCCTCCTCCTGCTGGGGTGGGGACGCGGCTGTCATGGGAACGTGGGGCCTTGGCTCTTCTGTGCTCTTGGGGGGCTGTGGACGCCTTGGGTCTCCTGGGCCTGTCTCCGCTGGCCTCTGGCTCTTGTGGGGTGGGGTTGCGGCCCCCCGCCCTTGCTATCAAGTACATTCCATGGAGAAATTCACACGCACCCAACACACGTATACGTGTTCACACACATCCCCCACACAGAAGAACACACATGCAAACCCACTTCCTCACTCCCTTCCAAGCACATGCAACAATTTTGGATGTCTGTATATCTGTTTTATTTTCTTTAATTCTGGTTGTGTCTTTGTATTTGTCCATTTTTGGTTGTATTTCAAATGCTGTTTTTTTTTTCCCCTTGATATGTGCTTTTTACGTTACCCTTGTCTTTCTTAGCCTCTCTCCCACTGTTGTCTCCCCCTTTGTTCGTGTTTTGTTTTTTGTTTTTTTCTCCTCTCTCGCCTCCTTTTTAATCTCTCTCCCTACCCCTTTTCTTCACTATCACTCCCTTCCGGACAGCTCGGCAACTGGAATATTTTACATGTGTTAAAAATAAAATACAATAAATATACAAATAAAAAGAAATTGACCAACAAAATATGTTATTTCTAAAAACTTGCAGTAGAGATTTATGCAGAACATATTTATGGTTTCAGTGTATTTTCTGTGTGTGTATCAAAAGTTTAATTATAGCGTATAACAAATCAGTTAAATCAGTCATTGTCTACCACGCTGGAAGTCACAAGATATACTGTAGGTTATATGGCATGCATGCATTGTTTCATTAATATGCCTTAACATAAGAAAACTACAGTAAATATAGACTGCACATAAAGGCATGCAAACTTTTACAGTGAAAAGTACAAGTGTACTCTAGTATTACATTAATTTATATAGTGTAGATATACCGTAATGTTATATTGAGATATTACAGTAAATTACATTTAATACAGTAATGAACCGTAAATTAAATGTACAGGAAAAAATTACAGGAGTTTCTGTAGTTTTACAGTAATTAACAATAGTTTAGGTATACTGTATTATATTGTTATTAAAGATATTACAGTAAATTGACAGTAATGAACTGTAAAATAAATATACAGTGGCCTACTGTAAAATTTACAGTACTGTACTGGCATCTGTGCTGCCAGTAATTTACTGTAAAATATACGGCAAAATTTTTTACAGTGTACTTACTAATAACAAGGCATAAGGCACTGACAGCAATCCCAGCAGCCCAGCAGGTTTTCAAGAGTGGTGAGCAAAGAAATGGGAATACGGAGGGAAAACATGGGCACCGGATCAAGCCCTGACTGTAGTGGCTGGATGTGATGGTGTCGGGGTCTGTACTATCCGGCCCGCCCTCTGTGACCCTTCCACGTTTGGCCAGCAGGCATTGCCGGCCATTCCGCCTTCCCTCCTCTCTGTCGTTTAGTCCATCCCTTTCCTATGTGTTCGGTCCCCATTTGGCCAGCAGGCTTTGCTGGCCATTCCGCCTTTCCCCCTCTCTGTCGTTTAGTCCATCCCTTTCCTATGTGTTCGGTCCCCATTTGGCCAGCAGGCTTTGCTGGCCATTCCGCCTTCCCTCCTCTCTGTCGTTTAGTCCATCCCTTTCCTATGTGTTCAGTTCCCATTTGGCCAGCAGGAGTTGCTGGCCAACCTGCTCCCTCTGTCTTAGTTCCTAGTCTTCCCTAGTGTGTTTTTTCTGCACCCTAAACTGCCATGTAGCTTAGTGGACTGCGTATGCAGCATGCAGTCTGTTATCCGATTCCTTGTGGGTTTCAGACAGGCCTCACACCAGCCTCATCCGTTATTTTGTATTTATTGCTTCTCTATCTTTTTCATAGTGTTTATTAGTTCTGCGTTCTCCTTGTGAAGCTTGTGCCTTGTTTTATTAAGTTCCACGTGTTCCTATATTTGTTGAATTCCTAGTGTGTAATTAGTGTTGAATGTTTGAATGTTTGTTGGCGTTTCCCTAGTCTTGTGTTCATTATTATAATATGCTGCCTCCTCGTTAGCTCAGCTGTTGGTTGTATTCAAGTGCTTGCTCTCCTACTATTCCTTGTTGATTCATTGTGTGTGTTGCTGTTGGAATGTTAGGGCAATGGTGTTTGTTCCAGAGTGTTTTTCAGCCTGGTTGGTTTTCCTCATTATGTTCCCTTAGTTGCCCAGTTCCCTCTGTTAGTTTATGTGTGGTTTTCCTAGTTATTTTTCCGTGTCGAGTTTTTGACCCCTCGTGGTTCCTTTATTTTCTAGTTTCCACTTTGTCTCTTTTTTTGTCAATAAACTCCTTTGTCTTGGAGCTTTTAAGTGCATCGTCACCTTTTTTCCCCGCCTGCTCCATGCTGCACTGCAACAGATGGAACTTTACGGGAGCTGAAGTGAAAAAGACAGACGTGCACCGAGCACAGAAAGAGCAGCACATGACGAGGGAGCACACCCACGTCCTCCTGTCAGAAGGTTATTCTGCTCGTTTGATGATGAATTCCAGGTGAGTTACACCTATTCAGCTAAACGATAACTAATAGTAAGGGTGCTGCTGTTATTTAGAAGGCAAAGACATAGCTATTCTTCCTGAGGCTCAGTGTCTCCAATATGGTTTCACAACATCTCATGAAGTTATATTTTTGGTAGCTTTGTTGCATAGGTTCTTCTTGCTGTACATTTTATAGTTGTTTTGGTGTAACTGGAAACAAAATTACACTTAACTTGCATCTTTTTCGAGAGTGTAAGGTGATTGTTTTACAAAAACAAGTAATATAAGTATATACTCCCTCAATCAACTTACACTCAGGGAGCACTTTATTGGAAACACCAGCACACCTGCTTATTTATATATTTATCTAATCGGTCAATCGTGTGGCAGCAGTGTAAACCATGAAAATCACATAGATACAGGTCAGGAGCTTCAAGTAATGTTCACATCAAAATGGGGAAATATGTGATCTCAGGGATTTTGATCATGATTTTTGGTGCCAGATGGTTTCAGTATTTCTGTAACTGCTGATCTTCTGGAATTTTCACACACAACAGTCAAGTTACTCAGAATGGTGTGAAAAACAAAAAACATCCACTGAGCAGCAGTTCCATGGACAGAAACAGCTTGGTGATGAGAGGTGTCAGAGGAGAATGGCCAGACTGCATGAATCCATGAAGCTAACCTGCAAGCCTTGTGTCAACAGTCTAGGCTGGGGTGGAGAATGTGTCGTTGGCAGACTTTGGACCAGTTAATACCAATTGATCATTGCTACCACAGCCTAATTGCTGACCATATGCATCCATTCCTGACAGTTTACCCATCTTCTAATGGGCTCTTCCAGCATGATAATCAGGTCAGAAAGCAAAAATGGTCTCAAACTTGTTTCAAGAACATGACTGTGTGCTCAGTGTTCTTCAGTGGCCTTCCCAGTCATATAATCTGAATCCAATATAAGGTGTGCTTCCTACAACTACGCCAAACTGCCAAACTGCAATGATTTCTTACTATTGCAGACAGAGAAATTGATACATGCCTTTGTATACAGTAAGTTAGAACACTGTAATGCTCTGTTATCTGGCAGCACACACTGCACACTTAATACCTTGCAGTGTATTCAAAATACAGCAGCTGGAATTGTCAGGAAGCAGGAAGTTTGAACACGTAAGCCCTGTTCTTAGTTCCCTGCATTGGCTTCCTGTTAGGTTTAGAGCTGACGTCAAAGTTCACCTACTTACATATAAGGCACTTAAAGGTGTAGCTCCTGCGTATCTGACAGAATTACTTCAAGTTTACAAGCCGCATCGTCCACTCATATAAATGAAGTGACAGTGGGATGTAAAGCATTCTGCTACAGGGCCCCTATATTGTGGAATGATTTACCAGCCTATGTTTGGGATGCCGATTCGGTCTCGGTCTTTAAATCTCGACTAAAGACCTATTACTTCAGCTTAGTTTACCCACAACCTAGTACACCGTGACTATGGTAGCTGGTGCTGCTGTACGTATCATTTTTATCTACCTGACCATCCATGTTCTCTACCTTCCCACATGTCCAGAGGGGTGGGACAACTGCAACCACAGGGACAAACCGGTTGTTTTCATTTTTTATTTACTTACTCCTAACACCCATTTTCTGATTCAGGAGCAATTTGACTCTTTTGAAATGTCTAGAAATCACTGATCCCTGCTTTTCCCATTGGAATTGAACACATTGCCTGATAATGTCATGGGGGAATCTTTGATTTTCATGTTACATTGCTAACTAACCTCAAAAACTGGATTTTCACATTTAAGTAAGGCTGTAAGTGTAAGTGAAAAATTCCTTTGGCCAGAAAAGTAACGAATGTTTTGTTTCAGCTTTAATTTGCTGTGATACTGAAACACATTTTTAGTGGCTGTATGTATGAAAGCTGAAATATCTGTTGTTTGATCAAATAGCCTGCATCATATCAATTTCAAGTTTCATATTATATGTAACAGACATACATAAATTATACAATTTTACATAAATTATATAATGTCAAAGGGTGTTTGTAAGATTAAAAAATAGCATTTATATTTTTCTAACTACAAAATCAGTTATTAGCTAGATAAACTGAAATTCTAAATTTGGATATAAAATATGGAAAAGCATTTTGTCTCATTTTATAATCAGATGCAGATGATATTTCTGTAAGCAAACTTTACTGTAGGCTACTGTACCGATATGTAGGTCAAGACAGGTGTTAATTAAGAAGATATCAGCCAAAGATTTTAGCAAATGCAAATCTAAAATAAAATCTAAAATTTGTGGGAAGGTTTGGGTTGCAGTGAGGTGCAAGAGGATCTAGCTGCAGACGCCTGTAGAGTGGAGCTCCACCCGAAATACGTCAGCTCCACAGGAACGTGATCTTTAAGGACGTGAAGTGGAGCTCTGGTTAGGGTTAGGGATAGGGTTAAGGTTAGTGTTTATTCGCTGTAACACAGAGCTAAGGTCACGTGTTTCTTGTGGTAGTGATGTATTTCCGGTGGAGTTCCTCTCTACAGGCGTCTGCAGCTGGACCCTTCTCGTGAGGTGCATTCCCGTAAAAACAGGAACGCCCTCGACAGGAACGTCCCTCATCGTGTTCATTGGTGCTTACGCCATTACGTTTAACACGATTGCCCAACACCAGGAAACAAATTCTGCCAGGGGCTTCCTACTTTGCTTATATGTATTAAAACCGTTTTCTCATGAGACATAACAAATATAAATAGTTCTAATTAGCCTACAATACCACGACTACTACTTAACTTGGTTG